AAGGTTTCTACAACCAATACAATGTTCCTTCCTCAAATGAACCTAAAAGAGCACTTTGGGAGGCTGAGACGGCCAGATCACGAGGTCAGCAGTTCAAGATCAACCTGACCAATATGGTGAAACCCCGTCTCTACTAAAAATAGAAAAATTGGCTGGGCATGGTGGTGCACACCTGTAGTCCAGCTACTCGGGAGGCTGAGGCAGGAGAATCACTTGAATCCAGGGGGCAGAGGTTGCAGTGAGCTGAGATTGCACCACTGCACCCCAGCCTGGGCATTTTTTGAAAAGAAGCCTCCATCACAGCCACTGACTCTCATTCTGCAAGTTCTTAGGACGGCACTTTCTTGATCTTACCCGAAGGGGCCAAAAAAAAAAAAAAAAAAAAGGTTTCTACAACCAATACGAATGTTCCTTCCTCAAATGAACCTAAAAGAGTTTGTTGACTGGAACATAGAAGGGTTGTAGTTTTCCAGCCAGGCTGCCAGTACTTATATCCAACTTCGCAAACATGTGGACAGTGACTAGTCATTCTGGCCTCTCTCTGGCTGTTCACACTGTAAAAGGCCTTCCATTCATTGTAAGGTACATCCTGACCTCAGAAGTCATAAAATGTGAAAAAGGATGCTGTGAAAACTGATCTGGAATCAGTAAAATATGGCATTAACGACTGCGTGCTGGACACTTTAAACTTTCACATAGGGTCAGATGTGTTCGTAGTTTTGCTTGATTTGTTCGTAGAGATTTGTTCGTAGAGAGCTTGGCATTACGTTCCTAAGGCTCCCAGAGATTACATAATTTTCCTTGGGTTCGCTAGGATGAAGAGGATTCAGGATGCAAGTCCAGGTGTGAAGTAAAATGTTTTATAAAACATTCTAAGAAGTCCTCCATTACACCTAATAGTGACAGTTTCATAAATTCCTATAATGGATGATAAATCCTTTCGTTCTACCAAAGCAGAGATTTACTACCACTTTGGGTAACATATTAATACCTTGGTGTGATACTAGGTAAATATGCTTGCTCTTGAAGAAGTATTTAATTACTAAACCTACTTTTAAGTTGGATGATGATAATGTCCAATCTTTTAGAACAATTTAGCTTATGCCAATTGTCCTGGTGTATTTCTTGTGTTTTAGAATCCTCTTTTTGGAAACAATCACGAACTTACACAAACTTACAGAAAAGTTCTAATTACTCGGGAAAGTAATTTGCCAAACTGATGACCGTAATTTCCAAAAACATCTGTGAGTATTTCCTACAAACAAGGACATTCTCTTGCATAACTACAATACAACCATGAAATTAGGAAATTAATATTGATACACTACTGCTTTCTAATCCTCAGATCTCATTCACGTTTTCCCAAGTAACCCAAAAAGTCCTTTATTGAAAACAATTCAGTTCAGAATTGTTCACTGCATTTATCACGTCTCTTTAGTTTCATTTTTCTGAGATAGTGCCTTAGTCTTTCCTTGACTTTTGTCACCCTGACACCTGTGAACAGTACAGGCCGGTTATTTTGCAGAATGTCTCTATCTTAGTTTGATGTTTCCTCATGATTAGATTCAGGACGCTCATCTTTTGCTGGACCGTCGACAAGGTGGTGTTGTGTTCCTACTGCATTCTATCAGATGGCACATGATTTAGACTTGTCCCCTTACTAATAGTATCCACATCAGTCACTCAGTTATGGCTGTATATGCCAGACTTTTGTATTGAAAAGTTACTTGATTTTGCTTTGCAATGAGTAAGTCTTTTGTGAGAAGTTGTAGTGAGACTATGTAAATATTCTGTTCTTAACCGAACTTTCAAATTTTTTCCACCACGACAAAAGCATTTCTTTCATATAAATCCCAATGCTTTTGATCAGAAACATTGGCAAAATCAGTAATAGGATTCTGTCTGAGATAAGTTGGCAACCCAGGAGGCAGAGGTTGCCGTGAACCAAGATCGTGCCCCTGCACTCCAGCCTGGGCAACAGAGCGAGATTCCGTCACTCCGTCTCAAAAACCAAAGAAACCAAAAACATACAAACAAAAACCTGTGGCAATGCCAGCAGCTACCTGGTTAAGGTCACCTTTTCTGATTGGCCTTGCCCTCTACACACTACCCATTCATGTTTCTTTAATAAGTGCTTTTTAAATAAGCATTAAGGCAATGTGTTTAGATCTGACTTTGTTACACCATAAGTTTTTCTCTTATTATAAAAATGAATGGCCGGGCGCAGTGGTTCATGTCTGTAATCCCAGCACTTTGGGAGGCTGAGGTGGGCAGATCACGAGGTCAAGAGATCAAGACCATTCTGGCTAACATGGTGAAACCCCGTCTCTACTAAAAATACAAAAATTAGCCGGGCGTGGTGGCACACGCCTGTATTCCCAGCTTCTTCGGAGGCTGAGGCAGGAGAATCTCTTGAACCCACGAGGCAGAGGTTGCAGTGAGCCAAGGTCACGCCTCTGCACTCCAGCCTGGTGACACTCTGACTCCAAAAAAAATAATAATAATAATGTACATTTTAGGGAATCTTGATAATACAGAAACATTATGAAGAAGAAAAAAGTCACCTGTTAATTCCACCTTACCATTCACAAGAGAGCGATGTTAACATCTGTTTGTATTCTGTTCCATGGTTTTTTCTATGCCTTTTTTCACTGGACTCAAATTTTGTATTTTGCTTTTTTGCACTTAACTTTGTAACCTGGCATTTTTGTTTGTTTGTTTTTACGAAACAGCCCATAAGCATAATTCTTTTTTAAATTTTATTGTAAATTAACAATTTATAGTTGTATATATTTATGGGATAAAAAATGATTTTATGATGTATTAGGCTTGATACCTGGGTGATGAAATCTTCTGTACCACAAACCCCCATGACACAATTTACCTGTATAACAAACCTGCACGTCAAGTGACCCTGAACTTAAAAGTTAAATTAAGTTTTTAAAAATGTATATTCTGTCCAGTACCATGGAATCTGTTCACTGAAATGGATATTTAACACTAAAGGTCCAATTAAAGCATTTCCAGAACTTAGAAAACAAATATTTTTCCTTTAGTTAAGTTCTATAGCAGAAAAAAAGACAAATAAATACAGTTAAATTGTAATGTATACAATGAAATAATGTTTTATAGTATTATTTAAAACATACCATTGTCTAATAAAATATTAATAACTGTATAAGAGATTTTAGCTATTCTTGCACCTAGTCTCAGATTTTTAAATAAGCCCTTTTTAGATTTAATAAATAACATTGAAGGAAGGTCTATAAGAATTTACTCTCAGAATTAATATAAATGGCCTCATGATCCACCCGCCTCGGCCTCCCAAAGTGCTGGCACTACAGGCACGTGCCACAGCGCCTGGCCTGCACATTCTTTATATACCTAATTTGTTGAGAGTTTTCATCACTAATAGGTGTTGAATCTGTCAAATGCTTTTTTCTGCATATATTTAATGCTCACAGAGTCATAAGGTTTGGATCTCTGTCTCTACCCAAATCTCATGTTCAATTGTAATCCCCAGTGTTGAAGATGGGGCCTCGTGGGAGGTGACTGGGTCATGGGGGCAGTTTCTCATGGTTTAACACCATCCCCCTTGGTGTTTTCTTGGCAATAGCAAGTTATCATGAGATCATGTTTGAAAGTGTGTCGTGCCTGCCCCCTCCTCCTGCTCCAGCCATGTGAAGTGCCAGTTTCCCCTTCACCTTCCACCATAATTGAAGCTGAGCAGATGCTGCCATGCTTCCTGTACAACCTAGGGAACCATGAGCCAATTAAACTTCTTTTCTTTGGAAATTAACCAGTTTCAGGCATTTCTTTATAACAATACAAGAATGGACTAGTGCCAAAAATTGGTACTGGGAGTGGGGCACTGTTTTGAAGATACCTTAAAATATGGAAGCAGCTTTGGAATTGGTAATAATCTGAGGCTGTAAGGGTTTGGAAGGCTCAGGAGACAGGAAGATTAGGAAGAAAATTGAACTTCCTGGAGACTTGTTAAATTGTTGTGACCAAAATGCAGATAGATAGTGATATGGACAATGAAGTCCAGACTGAGTAGGTTTCATATGGAGATAAAATCCTTATTGGGAACTGGAGTAAAGGTCACTCTCGTGTGCTTCAGAAAAGAGACGGTGGCATTGTGCTTCTGCTCGAAGAATCGGTGGAACATTGAACTTGAGAGAGGTGGCTTAGGGTATCTTGTGGAAGAAATTTCTAAGCAGCAAAGCATTCAAGATTTGACCTAGATGCTTCTAAAAGCCTGTGATCGTATACCTGAGTTAAAGAAATGACCTGAAACTGGAACTTATGTTTAAAACAGAAGCTGAGCTTAAACATTTGGAAAATTTGCAGTCTGGCCATGCAGTAGATAAGAAAAATCCATTTTCAGGGGGAGGTATTAAAGCAGGTTGCAGAAATTTGCCCAAGTAAAGAGGAATCAATTGCTAATCGACAAGACAATGAAAAAACAGCCTCAGAAGTATTTCAGAGACCTCCGTGACAGTCCCTCTGATCATAGGCCTGGAGGCCTAGGAAGACTGAATGGTTTTATAGGCCAGGCTCAGGGCCCTGCTGCTCTGTGCAGCCTCAAGACATGATGCCCTGCACTTTGGCCACTCCAGCTCCAGCCACAGCTAACAGTGATCAAGGTGAAACGGGCTGCTGCTTCCAAGGGTGCAAACTGTAAGCCTTGGCAACTTCCACATGGTGTTAAGCCTGCAGGTGCACAGTGAGGCTTAGGAACCTCTGCCCAGATTTCAGAAAATGTATACAAAATCCAGAGAACCTCTAACTAGGACGGTGTGGTGGGGAGATGTGGGGTTAAAGTCTCCATATAAAGTCCCCACTGGGGCACTGCCTAGTGGAGCTGTGAGAAGAGGGCTACCATCCTCCAGACCCCAGAATTGTAGATCCACCTGTTACCAGAAAGGGGTCCAAATCCAGATCCCAAGAGGGGGTTCTTGGATCTCATGCAAGGAAGAATTTGGAGGAAGTCCACAGTGAAAAATGGAAGCAACTTTATTAAAGTAAAGGAGTGAACAAATAGTGACTCCATAGACAGGGTGGGGCATTTCCAAAACTATGAAGAGAAAAGCATCCATCCTACTAGGTGCAGTGCATATTTAAAACTACAAATGCTTTTGTTCTCAAAGTATCAAGACATTCCTGGGTCTGTTAAGTCCTGAGTGTGTTTAGGAAACATTATTAATCTGTTCCCTCAGTTGTAAACATCTTAAGGCTAGGAATGCTTAACCTCCTGGGAATGCAGCTCAACAGGCCCCAGCTTCATTTTTCTTAGCCCTTGTTCAAAATGGAGTCGCTCTGGTTTGAATGTTTCTTACATATTTCCCCCCTCCCTTTTACAAGAGGACCCTTAATCCAGGGGTTGCAGAAGGATGAAGGTCCATCTTCTGTAACTTCTTCATGCTGAACAGGGGCGATGACATTTCCACATAACTATTAGGGTCTCTTGTATTCAGGGTAGAGAGGAGCTCAGTCAGAAAGCAGTGGTACGTTAAGCATCATTTGCAGCTCTGAGTTCCAGCAAGAGGTGAAACCTGGAAGATTAATAAGTGTCCAATTTAAGAAAGTAGCGAGTAAGCTTATCTTGTGTTCCTATACAAAGAGTACAACCATACTCGACAACATCAAAGAAAAATAAGTAAAATTATCCCAGGTAAACTAACAGGAAGGCTTTCCAAAGACTGGGCAGTTGTTGGGACCAAGCCGATATGGAGTTGGCTGACGGTGCATCAGTGGCAGAGATACGAGTGTCTAAAGCTTTCTTAGCCTGGGTAATATTATGTGAGTAGTCTGGAATGTGCTGCAACATTTCATTTTGATCGAAGCACAAGTTCCCCCTTAAGTTGCTGTTAAAATGGCTTTGCCATTCGGTTTGGTAAGGCCACCTGCCTAATCTGAGCGATGTCCTCAGGAGGGTAAGGGCACGGTGCGTATTACTCAAAGCTGCAGCCGTGTGCTTGGCCAAGGCCTCAACTTGCAGCTCAACATTGATCGTGGCTGCCTGTGAAGAAGGTATAGCCATCTGGTGGAAGCAGATGGCTTCTATAATGAGCCTTTACAGTTTTCCAGTTAGATGGAAGTCGGTTTAATTCAGTGAGGATACATCCCAGAGGATAAAGATGACCCCACATACACCTTCCAGTCCACTTATAAGGTAAGTGTCACCAGCTGAGTTCCACAAGCCCATAACCACCTCAAAAAAGAAGAGGCACCAGTTTTTTGTGAATTACTTTGCCATCTCACCACATTTTGTCTGTTAAAAGAAGGGTCTTACTCAAACTTGGGGAAAATCAGCAGCTAATAAATTATTTAAGCTGTGGTCTGTGTCTCTCTGCCTTGTATTAAAAGAGAAAGCTGAGGCCTTTGGAGATGAATCTGTGGAATATGGGGAGTCTCAAAAACCCAATTTTACAGTAAATACTAAATCCCATTTCTTAGGCTCTGCTCCTTTTGAGGTGCTCGATTTGGTACAGGCACGGTGTGACACCCAAGGCTGGTGCATCAAAACCACTTCTGTGGGGTCTGCTAAATCCACGGGGTGACTGACTGAGAAATTTAGCTGAGATGCCTGGATGGACTGCATGTTCTCTCCATAGCTCTGTAAATCTCTCTCAGCTGGCTTTTGAAAATACCAGGTGGCCGCGAGTTTGAGGTGGTAATACTCCCTCTTCAGCAGCTCCTGTGTTGTGGTCACATGTCAGCTACTCTTTGCAGCTGGTGAAGGCAGGATCAGGATTGGAATATATGTTAAACAAAGGCTGAATCTAGACACATGCACATCTAAAGGCTTTTCCAGTTCTGTACAACTGAGCCTCAACAGTGTCTGTTACAACAAAATTGTCCTCCAAACATTAATTTGGGATCTTCTCCTATACATGTACAAACAGGGGATTGACTAGTTGTCCATCTTTGACACTTACTGTGTTCCACCAAGAGGGACACCTTCCAAAGCAAGAAACTGTTGGACAAACTCCAATCGAATGTCTGAGCATGATCCGCGTGGCAGAGGTTTACTTCCTGAAGAATGGACTTCACCTTTTAACACCACTTCACACTGAGGTCCAAATGGCTGCACAGACAGTTTTTAGATCCTAATAGAGAAAGAAATCTGAGTTGAAGATTCTGAATTCAATTCTTTGGTCAACTATTTCCTATATTTCCTTTGCCCAAAAGACCTAGCTAGGTGCTGAGGACACAATGATATTCCCACCCTTAGAGCTTGTGCTCCAGAGAAGAATATAGGCAAGGAGAGAGACAATCCAATGCCATCTGCACAGCGGGTGTAAGCGGCCATGGTGCTACAAGCATGCTGTTCATGGGAAATCTGGGAAGAGTGGAGGAAAGCTTCCCAGAGGGAGCCAGCCCAGGGAAGCCGTGGGCAAGCATTCCAGGCACAGGCGTTCACACTGGTGCAGGCAGGACTCTTCTCTTCTTCCCTAAGATCCTAATAGCAGACTGAGCACACGAAAGAGTTCTGTAGCCCAGGCAGGGGCAGAAGCCATGTGTGTCTCCGAGCAGAGGGCCGTTGAAGCAAGGGTCACACAAGCAAGCTTGGTACCCTAGACAGGGGAGCTCCGGCTGGAGGCTGATATTCACTTGGGATTTGGAAGCCCAGAATTCATGGGCCCGTGGAAGAAATGGAGAAATACAGCTCAACAGCTGACAAAATCAGCAGTTTCTGGGAGAATAAGAAAAGTGAAGGAGAAAAATCAAAATTGTTGTTTCATTGTTTACTTTTGTCAGAATATACTTAAAATAATCATTTCTTAATATCTATTCAGCTGGTTTGAAAGGAGATTCTCAGTAACAAAAAGAAGAAAATCTGAAGCTAAATGAAAGAGTTTACACAGATTCATGGCATCTATTAGCAAAAGTAAGATGTGGACTTTGTCATTCAGATGGTGGGTTTTGAAGCACATCCAAGCGAGTGGCTGTTTTGAGATATGAGTAAAACCTTGTCATTATACACATATTTATGTTACCTTTCCTCCCAAACTTGGGGATCCTTTGGAGAAAAAGAAACTACAACCTCCTGTTCTTCTCCAGGTTTAATGAATAGATTCTCTGGATCCACTAAAGAGGGACTTCCTCATTCGGGGACCTAAATAGTGACAGAATCATAATTAAATGCTGACTTAGAAAAACGCTGCTTTCACTCAGTGACTCCTGCCTTAGATTCCTTTCTCATTTACCAGGAGAGGCTATTTTTCCCTGTCTCCCAGTCCATCACAGGCTCAACTCATCCTGTTCTCTTGGAAAGCGCCTCTCTTCCTTCTTTTTCTTCTATAACAAACCTAATGTCCCACAAACGGCACCCCCAATTTCCTGTCACTAATGCACCCTCACTCACCTTCAGGTCTCAGAAAAGAGGTCAAAGTGTGTGGGTCACTCTTCCCCAATTCTAGCCACAGGCTGACATGCACATTTTTCAGAAATCAATCTAGAACTTGCTTTTCACATTCAAGACATTGGAGTCTACACTGAGAGCCCCATAGCATATACTTCATGCTAGAGAAACAGCCAGTGTTTAAAACTCTCAGTGATTCCATCATCTGGTCCTCAGCGCACCCTGAAGGGGCAGGCGGCCCCGGGACCCTCAGAAGGCAGGGAACCCTTCCAGTCTCAGGAAGGACTACCTTATGGTGCTCTGACAATAATTCATACGTTGATATCTAAATAAACTGCAACGTTCCCAGCTTTTCTCAGAGGTAAGGGCTGTTTTGTGGATGGAGCCATGCTGGCCACCAAGTGCATCATCTCGAAGATGGAGCGAGACAGACCTTTGAACAATCTGTCACCATGAAAGTGACATCAGTCTGAAAGCAAGACAATGAGGCAGAGGGGAGGACTGAGAGTACCTGGAAGTCTCTGGGAGCAGGAGTTATGGCTCCTTCTGCCCCTTCTTGGAGATCAACACTTCTAAGAACCGGTGGAGGGTCTGGGCTGTCAACTTCTATGTCAACTCTCGCCACGAAGTCTCCTCCTGAGTCCTGAATCTCTAAAATTCAAAAAGATTATTCTTTCAGTTCAGAGACCAGACACACTGAATTGTACATGCCATCAGCAGTCCAAAACAATGTCTTTAGGGGCCACAGAAAAATGTAGGCAAGAAGATTTTTTAAAGAATTTAAAGAGGACTGGAAATGAGTGGAGAAGCAGAAAAAGCAAGAGCACATCCAACTGATACACGAGAGGAGATCAATTTAGAGAAAATATCCCAATAGGTCCTCAGTGGTACTTGCTGTTGTCATGCACATTCACCTAGGTTTGACCCAGAACAGCAGGCATCTGCCTCATCGTCAGAACAGCATAAGATACTTGACAGATGACTGGAAGCATTCACATTTACTGGCAGAGGAAATCAGTCTCAAATTTGTGGTCTATTTAGACATAGAGAAAAGCAATTCCCAGAAAACATAAACATGATACCTGAAAAGCCGAGTTGCTTCTTTGGATTCTGGAAAAGAACCAAAATTATCAGAAATTCTAGACCTTATGAAATATAAATAAAAAATTGTTATACATTAGTATTAAGATGAAATCTGAATGAAAGAAAAGCAGTTTGGAAAACCTTACTGTTTTTGTTTTATTTTGTTTTGTTTTGTTTTGATGGAAAGCCCATCCCCTCCTACCTGTCCCTCATAACAGGCAGGTGTCACGTGGTTGATTGCAGGGCAGCCTGCCAGCCGAGGGACCACATCAGCGCAGGGAGCAGCTCCCACAGGAGCTCAGCCGGGTTCCTTGGAAAAACGTCAGTCCTTGCCAGGCCACGGTGCTCTGTTCAGAAACAGAAGGCTCAGTTTCAGTAAAGCCAATAGCAATAAGAATGTGAAATGTGTTAACAAAATCTTTAACAAAAATACTTCAGTTCATAGAAAGAATGTGTTGTGTGAACAGCATTTTTTTCCTCTACGTTCATACTCACAACACTGAGAATCAGCTTGATTGGTAAGTGGTGTGTGTCCGGTTCATTGCTTTTATTGGCAGGGACCTCCAGCCTCCACAACTCCAGTCACCAAAATCAAGAATGTCTTTCTGTTCTGTTTCTACCTAATTACAAAACAGAAACTGATTTTTAAAAAGCAATATATTAATAAATAGCACTACTTATGTTCATATCACTGCCATTTCTAGCCACAAATTAGGAGTCAGCATGAAGGAGAACTTTCCAATTGCTTATTTTCTACAAAGATAAATGTTAAATTCTTTTTTTGAGGTCTTTTATATACCCAAATAGACCAGAGAATTAAGCTGCTGTTGCTTGAAAAAGACTATATAATCTTCAGATGAAGTGACAATTGTATAAATTATATAGACCTCCTCTCTATTATTAGAAGGTTTTAACAATGAGTCTTACTATTACAATAATGACTTCTCCATTCCGTTCAAAAGTATCCCTTGTATCTTGGCATTGTCCGATTTTATTTTAAAATGTTTAAAATGTATCAAAATAGATGTATTGAAAGATTACAAAAAGGGCCTATGATCTATTTAAAGATTACAAAAAGGGCCTATGATCGTGAAGAACTGACTTCCTTAATCAGGGGCGACCGACATAACTGAGACCCCTGAGACCCCCACATACGGGAACATTTGAAGACATGGGAACGCCGCTGGACACCAGAATCTGGGCAAGTCCCTGACATGAAACGGCACAGTACCTGCCCGCAGCCTAGGCACATTCTCCTTCATACTTCAAATCCTTCCTAGATCACTTACAATACTTAATAGAGTGTAAATGCTACGTAAATAGTTGTTATACATGATCGTGTAGGGAACAACAAGAAGGAAGAAATGCCCGTACCTGTTCAGTACAAATGCAACCATCTTTTCTCTGGGGCGTGTGGATATTTTTCACCCAAGCTTGGTAGAATGTGAGGATGCAGAACCCACAGATCCAGAGGGCTGAATATATTTAACACACACACATTTTGCTTTGTCTTATACAACCATAAAATAAAGGGAAAGCAAAGGCCGCCTGGCAAGAGGGAGCTGACTGCCATGGTGGCTCAGCAAGGTCTTGGGTCCAGATTGACCCTCAAGATGGTAAAGCTTTAATACCTTCCAGAGAACAATCGATGTGACTTCAAGCTTGTTGTGGACAGGGAGAGGCTAAAATGAAATTTGAATTCTATACATAAAGCCCAGAAATTCACAGAAGTGTTCTTTTTTTTTTTTTTTTTTTTTTTTTTTGAGACAAATTGTCGCTCTTGCCCCCCAGGCTGGAATGCGATGGTGCAATCTCGCCTCACTGCAACCTCCGCCTCCTGGGTTCAAGCGATTCTCCTGCCTCAGCCCCCGAGTAGCTGGGATTACAGGCGCCCGCCACCATGCCCGGCTAGTTTTGGTATTTTTAGTGGAGACGGGGTTTCACCATGTTGACCAGGCTGGTCTCAAACTCCTGATATCAGATGATCCACCCACCTAAGCCTCCCAAACTGCCGGGATTACAGGCGTGAGCCACGGCGCCCGGCCCATCTTTATTTTTTTGACGAATTTCCTGGTATGTCTATTTCCACCCTTTTGTTTATAATAAAGATACAAAATTAGCCAGGTGTGGTGGCACACGCCTGTAATCCCAGCTACTTGGGAGGCTGAGGCAGGAGAATCACTTGAACCTGGGAGGCAGAGGTTGAAGTGGGCGACATTGTGCCATTGCACTCTAGCCTGGGCAACAAGAGGAAACGCTGTCTCCAAAAAAAGGGAAAAAAAAAGAAAAGAAAAGATGATGCATAATATTAACACCAGACAAAATTGACTCTAAGACAAAAGGGATAAAGAGAATTTTTATTTCTTTATTTTATTACTTTTAAAGTCTTTTAGGGTCACAGTCTTTTTCTGTCACCAATGCTGGAGTGCAGCAGTGCAATCCTAGCTCACTGCAGCCTGGACCTCCTCAGCCACCAAGCCTGGCTGATTTTTCAAACTGTTTTTTAGAGACAGAGTCTCACTGGGTTGCCCAGGCTGGTCTAAAGCTCCTGGCCTCAAGTGATCTTCCCCACTAGGCCTCCCTAAGTGCTGGAATTATGTTGCTATGGGTTGCTACGTCTGGCCAAGAATTACTTAAAAATTAACCATTCCACACAGAAGACAAAACAATCCTAAACCTAAACATCTATAACAATATAGCTGTGTAATACCCAAGAAAAAAATGATGGGATGTATAATCCTCCTTGTAGGAGAAATTTCAGATCTACAACCATCTCTCAGAGGCTGAAAGGCTAAGCAAACAAAAATATGAGTAATGATTCCGAAGATTTGAACTACAGAGAAATAAGCCAGAGCTAAGTACATGTAAGAGCTCTGCACCCGCGAGAAGAGTCCTTCCAAGCTCACAGGAGACACCGACATCAGCTGAACATCCTAGACCACGGAATCAACCCACCTGCCTCCGTCCCACACTCTGACCGTGAAGCGGGAAATGGGGGCCGGGGAGAAAGCTCAAGTAGGACAAAGACTCATTTACAAGTTGTCACCTTCATAACCTGACTCCCCACAGTAACAGTGAAGCAATAGATATACAAGGAAACTCGTAAAGAAAATAAAGCTAGCAGGTCGGGCGCGGTGGCTCAAGCCTGTAATTGCAGCACTTTGGGAGGCCGAGACGGGCAGATCACGAGGTCAGGAGATCGAGACCATCCTGGCTAACACAGCGAAACCCCGTCTCTACTAAAAAAAATACAAAAAACTAGCCGTGCGTGGTGGCGGGCGCCTGTAGTCCCAGCTACTCAGGAGGCTGAGGCAGGAGACTGGCGTGAACCCGGGAGGCGGAGCTTGCAGTGAGGTGAGATTGCGCCACTGCACTCCAGCCTGGGCAACAGAGCAAAACTCCGTCTGAAAAAAAAAAAAAAAAAAAACGAAAGAAAATAAAGCTAGCATTTGGCAGTGGAACCCAAATGCTAGCTGGAGTGGACTTCACCTTTTAACACCACTGCACACTGAGGCCCAAATGGCTGCACGAATATTTTCCAGATCCTAACAGAGAAAGCAATCGGAATCGAAGGTCCTTGTAGCTAATTATTTTGGCAACTATTTTCTACATATTTCCTTCGTCCAAAAGACAGAGCTAGGTGCTGAGGATACGATATTCCCACCCTTAGAGCTTATGCTCCAGAGAAGGATACAGACAAGGAGAGAGACGATCACAATGCCGTCTGCACAGGGGGTGTGAGCAGCCGTGGTGCTACGGGAACACTGTTTATAAGAAGTCTGGGAATTCCGAGTGGAGGAAAGCTTCCCCGAAGGAGCCAGCGCAGGGAAGCTGCGGGCAAGCATTCCAGGAACAGGCGTTCACACTGCTGCAGGCAGGACTCTTCTGTTCTTCTGTAAGGTCCTGAGAGCAGACTGAGCACACAGAAGAATTCTGTCGCCCAGGAAGGGGGAGAAATCCCGTGTGTCTCAGAGCAGACTCCGCTTTAACCAGGGGTCACACAAGCAAGCTCAATACTCTTGACAAGAGAGCTCTGGCTGCAAGCTGATATTCACTTAGGATTTGAGGGCCCAGAATTCATGGGCCTGGAGAAGAAATGAAGAAACATATCTTAACAGCTGACAAAGTCAACTAGTAGTTTCAGGGAGAAAAAGAAAAGGTGAATGAGATACATCAATGCACAGCACGGTGGGGACAGAAATGTCAGGCTCATGACTGTGGTCCCACAGCTCCACCCCACCCCGACTGTGATGACAGCTCTGGCCACCTCTCCCTTGTCATGCTCAGCGGGGATCTTCTCTTCTACTCCCCACTGCCAAAGACAACACCGCTTCATTCCCAGACTCCTGGGTGTCCCTAAGAAGTCTCACAGCCCACCTTTCACCTCAACCCTTTCCTTCGGTCATCTGCTTTTCATCTAAGCTGAGGATCTGAAAGCACAGGGGAAAAGCCAGGAAAGGGGAGGGGGGAGGGCATCTTATTTCACCAGGTAAACTAGAGTCACTAAGAGGCACGTGGGAAGACTAAACCCACCCACCAATGCTAGTTGGCAAGTAGCAATCACAAAGCCGGGATGCTGAGGACCAGTAGCTGCTGACCCTATTCCCCTCCCCACTCCCTGCCATTCAGATGATCCTTGTAACCAGGAAAGGAGATGGGGAGTCTGGAGTTACAGCAGCTGCAACTGAGTACGTGAGAGGCCCTTGCCATCAGAGTTCATGTTAAAACTGCATTTCAAGGTATTTCAAAAGCTTATGTAAGAAAGTCATCAGGTAAATTAGTCAAAAAGAACTCCCCTTTCCAAATGAAGGCATAGCCCCAAGATTAACTTGTTTCTCTCCTTCTCTCTTTTGATAAATGACAATAATTTATATTCAGCCCCATTTTACAAGATTAACAAGTAGAGGGACCAGGACCTCTGAGCTTTCAGTGATTGTAATGATAGTGCCACAAACAAATTTGTATAATGTTATAAATAAATAACAATGAAATATAAATCATGACAGAAAAAGCAAAACATTCCGTTTTCACTGTACATTTTAAGCACTACAACAGAATGGGGCCTGAGAGAAGATTCCATGGCAATGCCGGCGTGAGGTGGAAAGGGGTAGGGAGAGCCTGGCCCTGAGAAGGGAGAAATCAAGCACTGACTCCTAGTGCAGCTGTCACATTCCAGGAGCGCGGCCTAGAAAGCCGGCTTTTCCCCACTGACACTGATCTGAGGACCCCGATGCTGACCTGCAGCCAGGGGTCGGCTGCACTGAGCACAGATGAAGATGAAGGCGGGTCTGGGAAGCCGTCCCAACACCACAGGCATCACGAAGCTTCCACTCCTCAGACAGATACTCCCCGGGTGAGAATAAGGCACAGTCCACGATGCCAGTGACACCAGACCCCTGACTAATAGCTCAGTCGGTTCAGTGGCAATGAGTCTATGAACCGCTTGTTTGTAGCTCAAAGCTCCAGTTCAAAGCGCCTCAGATGCAGGAGTCCCTGCCCCTGCCTGAGCCTTGGCAGAGCCCTGCCAACATTTTCTTCCTGCTTCCATCCAGTCCAGGAAAAACAATTAAGATTAGATCAAACTCACCATTATAGCCACTGAATCGTTTGATGTTACTGTCATGGCTTCCGTTTCTGTCTCACAAATCATAAGCCACCGCTTAACCTAAAAGAAAACCGCAGAGGCTCGAACTTTGCAGATGTGGAGCCTATCCGATTCTAATACTACCACCCGCCTTTGCCCCATCCTCACGCAGTTGCTCTGGAGGGCAGAGAAGACAGCACCCCGGTAGCATGTGTACCATATCAGGAAAAGCATCGGTCCCAGCTGTGGGGGCACAGTGACCATCAGCAAGAGAGAAGCGGCCTCACGGCCGCACCTGAGTGCTGCCTCTCCATCACAGCCACCCAGAGACTCGCAAGCTGGAAGCACTCGCTCACTCCAGGAATCAACTCTAAACCGGACATTTCCTAGATGAAATCATCACAAAACTGCAACAGCAGAGCAAAAGAGAGGTAAGGAAGACAAAGCCACAGGCAGCCTGTCACCTGCATAGGTGCTGGGGGTGTTCTCAGCCATCTTCGGGAACCCTTGCACAGAAATAGATTGTGGTGGTCTCAGTTTAGGACAAAGCACAAAACTTACAAGAAATTAAAGCCAACCAGTAACTCCTTGAAACAAACTAGCTTTGTGGGGTCATTTGAAAAAATCCAACTGTGAAATAACAACAACAACAGAGCAAAAGCGTCTCACCCAGTACTGATGTCATTCCTGAATCCCGTGGTTTATTTCCAGTTTGCACCAACAGAATGCACAGGAAAAGGTTTCGCTGTGCTTAGCAGGTTCCGCTGTGAGGCATTAGAATATGGGTTGCAGACGGAAGAGGCACCCATCCATCCAGAGCCGGTATTTGGTCCCAGATTCCACAGCTGCAGGGTTCTGCACATGCTCTCCCGTGACAGCTGGACAGGGACGGCCTCCTGAGAAGCCACAGACTGCGGCCCTGCCAGCCTGGCACTGAGGCAAGGTGACACCTTCCAGCTGAAGGGAGTGTTCTTAAATATCTCTGGCTGAAGGAAGCTGTGCTGGGAGGGGTCACACCAAGAGTGCAGGCACCGCAGCAGGCATGTTCTGATCTCAGCTGCAGAGTCATGAATGGCTCCGCTGGGAACAGGTCCTGGCCTCTGAGCTCACTACTTGCAGTTGACGTAGCTTTAGTGATGGTTCTTTCATCATCATCTACAGTCTCCTGGCAGGACACAAGGAGGTGTGAGTGGCTGATCCTGTCTCACGACTCAGACCTGACTTGCTCAGGAGAGCCAGCCTGATCGGGTCTACTTCCTTGAGGTTTGACGTCCAATCCACCTCACCGGGTTCCAACAGATCTCCACTTTGGAGGAAGATCTTCACTTGATCTAAGGTTAGGTTTTACATCTTTAGGCTTGCTACTCAGAGCAGTTGCAGTCATGTTTTCATTTCACAGTTGTTTGTGATCATAGACGGTAATGTTCCTTTATGTTCCTTTTCCTATATTCTGAAATGGAACTTTTTCTCCCAATTTTTCCACAGCCTATTCCTCTGACGGGGCTGGGCTGGCTTGAAAAATTGTGATGCTCATCTCACTAGTGGTGTCACTCTGAGTGTGACAAGATTTTAAAAATAATCAGATAAACTGAATACAACAAATTCAAGTCATGCTGGTATAAACTGAGGTAATAAAGGAATCTACGTGGGTTATCTTTCTGAAATAGATGTGGTCTACACAAAGGAGTTATTCTGCAACTGGGAAATGCAGGTTATTAGAAAATTTATGTTTGTTCCTTTGTAAAACATATAATATGAGGAAAATAAACAGGAGGTATACACCAGTCATATCTGAAGTTTACATAGATAAAGGACCAGAGTTGAGTAAGTTTTTGAAAATTTAAGGGACTTGTGTAAACTTTATAATGAAAATCTAAATACATTAGTCACGAGGCAGAGTGGAGATCGGAGGCACAGCTGGCTCACAGGGCCCTACCCCCCATCTGTCCCTGCTGCTGCCTGTGCTTGAAGAGTAAAGATGTTAACTCTTATGTGGACCCATCCCTTTCCTGTGTCTAAACGCATGTGGCTCTAATAATGCATGACTTATCGCGGTAATTCCACACCACTGGACATTTGGGAGAGCTTAGTACAAGCAGTGGGTACTCACAATAAGGCTGGGCTTGGCAGGCCAGGGAGCACCGTGGCTCCTTGCAGTTACAGAGGAGCCCAGGCGCTGCGGTTGGCGGCGCAGCGTCTTCACAGGCTCAGGCTCAAAACGCCACGACCCACCGTTCTACAGACCTAAGCCAGGCTGTACTTTCACTGTCGGGATTATGATGATCAGCTTCCCTTAATGCCCTTATCCCTTCGGATTTCATTTATCCTTCGTGCCACTTTTCTTCTATCATTTCTATCACACTTCTTAGCCTGTACTCTAAAATGGGCTGCTGGTGTTTACAATGACGCATTTACCAGAACATTTCTTTTGCTCAGGACAGAATTTTTAAGGTGGACAAGCAAAGCCGAAAGTCCCTTCCAGCCCTGCAGTACTATGGGGTCTGCACAGTTCGCGCTCAGTGGCTTTGCTTCAAGAAATGGTTCAAGGCCGGGCGCGGTGGCTCACGCCTGTAATCCCAGCACTTTGGGAGGCCGAGGCGGGCGGATCACAAGGTCAGGAGATCGAGACCACAGTGAAACCCCGTCTCTACTAAAAATACAAAAAATTAGCCTGGCGCGGTGGCGGCGCCTGTAGTCCCAGCTACTCGGAGGCTGAGGCAGGAGAATGGCGGGAACCCGGGAGGCGGAGCTTGCAGTGAGCCGAGATCGCGCCACTGCACTCCAGCCTGGGCAACAGCGTGAGACTCCGTCTCAAAAAAAAAAAAAAAAAAAAAAAAAAAAAGAAATGGTTCGGCTTCTACAGTGGTGAAGACCAGCTCACTCACACCTCGGTTCCTGTGAAAGTGACTGAAGAGCTTCCAGAATACAATGATAGTCCCAAAGGGATCTGACGTAGCTGAGCAACATATACAGGGCAGCCTCGGAAACGCCATCAGAAACGATGAAAACCACACAATAAATGAGCTCATCCACATACTTACAACCAGATCCCAAGTCTCCAGACGTCTCATCACATTTTGTTTGCTGGTGAAAGATGTGCGACAGGCGAGGTCCATGACCCGTCTGCCCTCTTCATTGTCATAAACCACATTCTGTGTGAGATTCATTTCTAAAAAACAAAATTCCAAAACTATCCGTTGACACATGTAACAACTAAAATGATAAGACATTCTCACATAATTGTTTTATCTAGATGACTGCCTTAGTTATCAACAGCACTGAAATCTGCCCAAAATGTGTTGGAAAAAGAAAAATCCATTTACCAAAATGAAAGTATCTCTTTGATGGCAGACAAGCCAGCTGTGCTCATGAAAACAAGTCAATAATTGAGACTGAGAAATAAAGGGAAGAATGCTAAGACATAGAAAGGTATGTGTCCACTAGAACTCTGATGAAAGATACGATTTCTGAGCAATTCTCCCTATACTAGTATATTGGAAATTTTGTTTAAACTATAAAACACTTAAATATTTCAACTTAAAAGACTGACACAGTCCACATGAAACTATACCCTATCCAAAATGGACAAATATCTGTTTCTTTTTTTATAGTTACAATGGCAGTTTATTGTAAAGGATACAAATGAACAGCCAGGTGAAGATGCACTCAGGGCAGCAAGGTCTGGAGGGGTCCTGGGTACAGAGCTTCTGTGCCCTCTTCAGCTCATCTGTCCGTCTAGCACATCAATAGATTCACCAGCCAGGAAGCTCTCCAAGCCTTATTGCTGAGAGTTTTTATCTAGATTTCATTTTATAGGTATAATTCTTTAAATCACTGACCATGTGATTGGGCTCCATTCTAGCCCCTTTCCTCTCCCCAGAGATTGGGAGGGTGAAAATTCCAACCCCTTAATTACATGATTGTTTTTTCTGGCAAACAGCCTTTATCCTGAAGCCATCCAGCCAGTCCCCCCGCCCCACATCCGTGAGCCATCTTGCTGGTGTAAATTCAGGTATGGTCCAAAGGGGTTTGTATGAATAACGAGAGACACTCTTATTCAGGAAAATTCTAGGGTTTGTGAAGCTCTGAGCCAGGAACTCGGGACAAACCCTAAATGTACTTTTAAAAATTATACCACAAGCTTGGAATTTGGGAGTGGTTAGTACTTATTGGAAGTGGTTGGTATCTATCTAAAAGCCTCCGTCAAAAGTGAGAGGAAGAATATGATTTTAACGTCCTATTACACCGTGAAAGTGCAACAGAACTACTGCAACATAAATGTCAGTTCGGAGAGGACAAATACGGCCTTTCAATGTGGGCGTGATGAGTTTTAAATGTTCTTGGATTTTTTTCACCAAGTTAGGTGTAAGTGAAAGGACATGATGCGAATCAATGAAACTTGCTGAAACTTGTTGAAAAATTACCTTCCTGGTAACTAGAGACATATTTTTCATGTTTGTTGTAAACACCCTGTAGGTACTGCCTCCGGTGAACCAATTTAAATAAGATTCCCTGGGTCTCAAAACCATGAGAACAAGGGAATATATTGAGAAGGATATTTTCCTACTTTGAAAGGTTTGTGCTTGGAATCTATGCGCTTGTAAATCTTAAAAGAAGTTAGGAAGGGAGTAACTTATCTGTTAATAGGAATACCGGAGTCATCCGCACTTCTGGTGGGGAAAAAGGGAGTGAGCAGAGAACCACTTAATTAAAGTGGAAAAACTGTAATAGTGTTCCTCTGAGACACATTTTTACTAAAAGTATGTTTTCTTTTTGTTTGAAAATCAGAATCAAAAGCATATTTACAGCAAAAACAGCTGTTTTTAATCACTGAGTCTCTCAAATGTGATGTTACAAATTTAGATAACATAATACAGTTTCTTCAAAGTAATATAAACCTGATTGTATTCACATGTTTACAGATGAGCAAAAAAAGTGTTTTAGCATCTAGTGACTCATTTAGGTGGAAGGCAGCTATTCCTTAACTGTATCGTTTTAACCTTGATCAAAATGAAAACTTGTGTTTCTTTTATTCTGTTTTTTCAAGGCCACTTACTGTCTTTTTTCAATGGACTCGTGACATTCACATGTTCTCTTTTCACAAGTTGGTGACTGAAGGATACTAGTGAAATTAATTCTATGGTCACTAATAGGCTTCAGAGACACTGTGTCCACATTTTCTTGAAGGGACACTGAAGGGGTCTCAGTGTGTAACATCCATCCATGTCCAAAACTGTCTCCGCATCTGATGCCACGTGCTTATGCTGGTGAGGAGACTGTGCCTCCGCGTACAGGGTCAGTCAGGTCAAAACCGCTTTTGTGGGCATTTGTGTCATGAAAGTGAACAGAGCTGAGTGTCATACAAGCTGCCTGAGGGTCTTCACTGCAACAGCTTTTCTTGCATTTTCCTTTAAGAAAGAATCAGTAACAGAGCAATAGTAAATTTTATGTTTCATAACTCATACTAAAATGTATGGGAAAAACTGTATAGTTGATATAAAAGTTGTATTATATGAAGGAACAATATACGCTATTTACTGTATTCCAGACCACATGTGAACCAAACACAAGCAGTTGACCAAAACCAAAAGTTATGACGTGGTCATGAAAAATGTTCTTGGGCGGTAGGGGGGAAGATAAAGGCCAAAATCAACACTACATCTAAGCATATTATTTTCAAACTACATAAAATCAAAGATAAAGAAAAATCCTAAGGAGAAGCCATGTGGTGCGGTGGGGAAGAAATCACCTTACTTACAGAGAAACAAAGAACTTAACACCTGAAATCTCCTCAGAAACTATTCAAAGCAAGAATTGAGTAAAATGAAATATTTTAAAGAGATGAAAGAGACCACCAGCCTGTAATTCTGTTCCTTAATAAATTATCCTTCAAAAGTAAACAAGAAAAGACTTTCTCAGACAAGCAAAATATGAAGGTATTTGTTGCCAGTAGACCTGCTTTGCAAGAAATGTTTTCAAAAAGTTCTGAGAGAAGAAAAATAATATAGCTCAGAAGCTTGCATCTACAAAGAAAGAATGATAATCAAAGACAGAATAAATAAAGAATAAAACATGGCCAGGCGCGGTGGCTCACGTCTGTAATCCCAGCACTTTGGGAGGCTGAGGTGGGTGGATCACGAGGTCAGGAGATCAAGACCATCCTGGCTAACACGGTGAAACCCCATCTCTACTGAAAATACAAAAATTGGATGTGGCAGGCTGATCCAGCTATGGATAGAAAATGAACGATGGTGACAATTATGATAAAAAAAAAAAAAAAAAAAAAAAAAAAAAATAATGTATTTTTTTTTTTTTTAAAATTGTTAATATGTTGTGCAATTATGTAGAGTTATGTGTTTATGTGTGTACATATATGAGGGTGGGTGGGCACAAATATATATGTGTACCATATATATATGCTTATGTACACTTGTAGGTCAGTAAACTGAATGACAGCAATGATACAAGGAATGGTAGAGAGGAATTAGAAATCTTTTGTTACTATGAGGTACTCAAACTACTGTGGAAGCAGGATAATGTTATCTGGAAGTGAGCATGGATTAATTTTAAATGTATATTGCAAACACTAGAGCAACCACTAAAAAAGTGGGAACAAAGAATTATATCTCATATGCTATAAAAGAGAAAATGGAATCATATAAAATGCTGAACCAAAATCATGTAAAGCTAAAACCCCTCAAAGACGCATTTAGTTCGTCTTCTTATATCCATGAAACATATATTTAATTTATATAACATTAAATATTTAAATTAGATTTGCCAAACCAAATTCTGATTATTTGCCCATAACGTTAGAAATGAAAAGATAACAAGAAGTGACATTAGGAAAGATGATGGCAAAGTAGAAAGTGCCAGAAATGTGTGTCTCCACCTAGTCCACAACCATAGTGTGACTCTCTGGAGTCACTGTCAGAACTCTGGGGTCTCTTTGAACACTTCCAGCTACCAGGGAAAAAGCTCAGCTGGTCAACTGCAGTGAATGTGAACCAACTGCAGGCTTCAGCATAACAGTGGCTCCCCAGCCCCCAGCCCCAGGCTCAAGGCCAGCAAATGTAGGGAAGGGAATCCGTGTTTCTAGGGCAGATGGCTGGAGCCACATTTGGCAACAGAACCTTGCCTCCGCTTTATCAGGGTTCTATGTCCTGACTGCACATTGCTGCTTCTAACTGCCCGGGATAGGTGCACAGAAGCTGCCCATCACTGTTTCTAACCCACTGGATGAAGCAGCCTTTAGAAGACTTAAAGGAGCTGCATTTTTTTTTTTTGTATTCAAAAACCAGCATCTATACAGGGAGATTTTAAGGCCGGGTGCGGTGGCTCACGCCTGTAATCCCAGCACTTTGAGAGGCCAAGGTGGGCTGATTGCCTAACGTTAGGAGTTCGAGACCAGCCTGGCTAACATGGTGAAACCCCGTCTCTACTAAAAATACAAAAAAATTAGCCAGACATGGTGGTGGTTGCCTGTAGTCCCAGCTACTCGGGAGGCTGAGGCAGGAGAATCGATTCAACCTGGGAGGCGGAGGTTGCAGTGAGCGAAGATGGCGCCATTGCACTCCAGCCTGGGTGACAGAATGAGACTCTGTCTCAAAAAATAAATAAGTATACAAGGAGAATTTGGACAGCCTACACACGTACAGAAGGAAAGACGCTGATTCTCAGCCCAGACGCACCCAACACAATTTTGTAAAAATCCTAAACCTTAGAGGAAAGTAAGAATCTGACTTTCTGAGTTATCACATTTTAAGATTAAAATGTCCAGTTTCCAACAAAAACGAATCACAGGGAATACAAGGAAACTGGAAAACACGGCCTGTTAAAAAGAACTAAGTAAGTGAATATAAAGTGTGCCTGAGGATGCCCAGACATCAGACTCACTAGACAAAAACTTGACCACAATTCTGCAAGATGCACAAGAGCTGAAGGAAGACGTGGACAATGACAGAAAAATGACATACAACCAAATGAGAAAGTCAATGAAGAGATAATACTAAAAAGGAATCCAAAAGAAATTCTGCAACTGAGGCCAGGCGCGGTGGCTCACACCTGTAATCCCAGCACTTTGGAATGCAGAGGCAGGTGGATCACCTGAGGTCAGGAGTTCGAGACTAGCCTGGCTAACCTGGTGAAACCCCGTCTCTATTATAAACACACACAAAAAAAATTAGTTGGGCATGGTAGCGGGTGCCTGTAATCACATCTACTCAGGAGGCTGAGGCAGGAGAATCACTTGAACCCAGGAGGTGGAGGTTGCAGTGAGCCGGGATTGCACCATTGCACTCCAGCCTGGGCAACAGAGCGAGACTCTGTCTCAAAAAAAAGAAAGCAAGAAATTCTGCAACTGAAAAGTAGAGTAACTGAAATAAAAATTTACTAGAGAGCTTTAAAAGCAAATTTGACTAACTACAGAAAAAAATAGCAAATTTGAAGACAGAACAATTGAAATGATCCAGTGTCCAGAACAGAAACAAAATGGCTGAAGAAAAACCAACAGATCCTAAGGGACCTGTGGGACACCATGAAGTGGACCAACAACAGTTTGTGAGAATCACAGAACAGGGGGGAAAAGAATATTTGAAAAAATGGTGAAAATGTCCCCAATTTTATTTAAAATGTTAATATAAATATCCAAGCTGGGCACAGTGGCTCATGCCTATAATCTCAGCACATTGAGAGGCTGACATAGGACATTTGCTTAAGGCGAGGAAATGTGAGATCAGCCTGGGTGAAATAGACCCTGTCTCCACACATACAAAAAACAACTAAAATTAAAATTAAAAATTAGCTGGTGTGGTGGTATGCGTCTATAGTCTCAGCTTCTCAGAAAGCTAAAATGGGAGGACTGCTTGAACCCCTTCAGTCTGGATGACAAAGTAAGGCTTGTTTCAAACATTTTTTTTTTATTTTTAAAAATTTTTCTAAAAATCCAAGAAGTATAACAAACTCAAAGTAGGATAAGTGCAAAAAATCTCACCCTAAGGCATGTTATCATCAAGCTATCAAAAGGCAAAGACAAAGAGAGAATCTTGAAAAAAGCAAGAGAGAAGCTACTTGTCACATACAGGGAATCCTCAGTCAGACTGTCAGCAGATTTCTCATCAGAAGCCTTGGAGGCCGGAAGGCAGCCAGGGTGACAGATCAGTGCTGAGGGGCAGGGGGGAACCTCTCAACTAAGAGTCTTAGGTCTGGGTCTAAGGGTTTAAATGTGTTTCTCAAAGTTTATGTGTTAGAAACTTCATGCAGAGGTGTCTGAAGGGGGAACCTTAAAAGGATTAATGCCATAATCATGGGGGTGGATTCCGCATCAAAGGACAAATGTGGCCCTCTCTGGCTCTGGTTCTTTCTCACCCTCTTTTGCCCTTTCGCCTTCCACCATGAGACGATGCGTGCGAAGGCCTGACTTTCCCAGTCCATTGTGTTCCATTACAGCAGCACAAAAGAGACTAAGACACTGGCAATTGTTCTTCAAGGGAAAAATCAGGACACTACCAGATAAACAATGGCTAAGGAAATGTATTACCACTAAACCTGTCCTGCAAGAAAAGCCTGAGAGAGTTCTTCAGGTTGAAATGAAATAGCACCAGACGGTTAACTCAAAGTCATATGAAGAAATAAAGATCTCAGGTAAAGGTAAAACATGGGCAATTATAAAAGCTGATATTATTGTCATTTTGGTTTGGAATTCCACTTTTTAATATCCCGTATGATTTTAAGTACAAATGCATTTTAAAATACCCATCTATGCTGTTAGGCACATAGTGTATAAAGATGCAATCTGTGCCATTAATAACAAAAAGGGGGAGAATGGTGCTGTCCAGAAGCAGACACTTCGTATCTTATTGAAGTTGAGTTGCTATAAATTCAAATTAGAGTGGTTTAACATTAGGATGTTGTGTTAGGCCATTCTTGCATTGCTATAGAGAAATACCTGAGACTGGGTAATTTATAAAGAAAAGAGGTTTAATTAGTTCACAGTTCTGCAGGCTTTACAGAAAGCACGGTGCTGGCATCTGCTTCTGGGGAGGCCTCAGGAAGCTTTTAATCATGGAAGAAGGCAAAGGGGGAGCAGGCACATCACACAGCCAGAGCAGGAGCAACAGGGAGCAAGGGGGATGCACCATCCTTTACAACAAGATCTCATGAGGAACGGACTGCACCAAGCCATGAGGAATCCATCCCCATGATCCAGTCACCTCCCACCAGGCCCCACCTCCAGCACTGGGGATTATGATTCAAAATGAGATTTGGGCAGGGACAAGGCCCCATCTCCAGCATTGGGGATTATGATTATTCATCATGAGATTTGGGCAAGGACAAGGCCCCTCCTCCAGCATCAGGGATTATGATTCAACATGAGATTTGGGCAGGGACAAGTATTCAAACCACATTA